CCATGCAGGAGAGGATTGAGACCATGTAGGAGAGGGTCTGTATCGTTCTACTTAAAACAATAAACTACGAGTCGCGCTTGCGTGCGCGGCGCCGCTGCGTTCCCGTGGGCCTTGGCGGCGCGAAATGCACGCAAGACGAACGCGCGTTACCGAAACGTCGCCAGAGGCATGTGTGCATTGGAAACATGCATTACTTGTATCACAGACCGCAATTGCGGTGCCGCCGCGGCACCGCGCGGTAAACAAACGCGTGTCTGTATCGACGCTAAGGCCCGATGCACACATCCGATTTTAAACGGTGCGGTGTCGGTGCGGTACCGCTGCGGGGCCGCGCAAGTCAATGCACACTTGGACGGTAAAAATACGACACTAGTACGCATTCAGCCGCCGACGATGGATGTCTATAGAAGGAAGCGTGTCGTATTTATGTACCTGGTGTACAAAAAATATCTTTTGAAAGTAAATAGACGATATTGGGTACATCCATTCATTGATTCAAGACTAACAACTGGTAGATTTCATACTTCGTTCGCGGATTTGCGGAAGAATTCGGATAAGTTTTTCAGTTACTTTAGAATGAGTGTTCAATCTTTCGACGAGCTTGCGGACAAAATTAGCCACAAGATAGTGTCTCGAACCACCTGGATGAGGCTCTCCATACCACCACTGGAAATGTTGGCTGTAACTCTGAGGTAGGTGAATTTCCCCTAATAGCACACCGAAGTCATATGGATATTCATAGGATGTCCCTACGGGACATTCGGGACTTAGATTGGACATGCGTTTTTGGTACCTCGGATATCCATAGTACGTCCGTGGGAAGTACAAATGTTCCGACTTCTCACTAAAAAAGGACATCCCTCAAAGATAATTATGGGACGTTTTTAAAAAATCATCCAATGAACGTCCTTTTGAAAAATTCATGAGTCATTCTGTTTAAGAACGTTACACTATCCTGGAAATATTGAGGGTGTCCATGCAGAGATATTCAAAAATACGTACCATTCAGGACATTTCATAGTTTTTTTATAAGAAATATTATGAATGATCCCGAATTATGCCAGTATATGTACTACTTGGCACATCCCCTGGATGTCCCTGATAAAACGTTCAGAATTATATCTCATTGTATCAAATAGGGACGTCCTTAGGACGTTCTGTGCTATTAGAGTCACAACAGGTAGCCTCTTTTTTGAAATGTATGTACTTATGTACATACCTATATTATATGTATATATCATAGTATTATATATTATATTATATATTATAATATTTGATAGAATAAAGGCGAAGCAAAAATTTTTTATTGGACTATCGAGAAACACAAAACTCAAAAGTAGAGAAATAACAAAAAGTGATACGTCTGTTCAAACCTAATTCCTGAAAGTATCTTGACTCTCAGCTTCTTGCTGCGACATGATGTCCAAAGACTGGGGAAGTGATAGGAAGGATGGGGTAGGTGTCAACTCTGTCAACTGCGAAAAATATCGATTAGACTGGGAGTGAGGCAAATAGTTGGAAGGGGGAGGCGTTGGTGTTGATTGCGAGGAAGATGGATGAGATTGAGGTTGAGGCAAGTGGTGGAAATGGTAAGGTCTTGATGTGGACTGTGAGGAAGATGAGTGGAATTGAGGTTGAGGCGATGGGTTGGGTGTGTTTCTATAATTCTGTGGGAACGAGGTCATCCTCATCCGTTTGATAATGTTCAAAATTTCACAGCGGAACTCTAGTTTTTGGTCTTCTGTAAAATTACTTATTGATGGAAGAATACTCTCAAAAAATGATCTGTCTGCATTAGGCTCTGGAGCGGAAGCCACAAGTGATGACGGACTTGGAGCCTTCATAGAATCTATCAAAGCCGACTCCAGATCACGTTTGCGTTTTTTAGAAGAATTTTGTTCATAGCGTGGAGATTTTTCAGTTTCATTTTCCTTTGTTCGATTCTGTTCTGGTTGTTCCTCCAGAGGGTCCTCTTCCTCATCATCATTACCAAAACTGGACTGGGTTTCTGTTCTCGCACCTGCAGTTTGAAGAAACGATAGCTGTCGAGCATAGATGTACCGTTTTCCAGATTGAGCTGCCTGCCCAGATTTGGTCTTCTTCAAACTCTTCACGTAATTATTCTTGATATTTCTCCATTTCTTGATTAATTTAGTGCCTGATGAAAGAATACTCATTTAGTTCACCATTTTGTTGATCATCACAGCCACCAAAAAATAATGAAAAATGTTTGATATCATTCGTATAAACATAATGGGCTTATAAAAAATAAAATTATTTCATAATCCATAATTTTGATCTCTCTGATATTTTATCTGGATGATATGGCAACAATAATAAGTGTCACACGTGGTTCACGCTCATTGGTTTCAGAGTGAATTGGCGCGGAATAGGGATTATACGTCATAGGAGGGGCCCGCTTTCAGAGGGTACTTTAATTTATGTCCAAAATAAAACAGTCTAGTTGATTTTTCGATCGAATGATGTCGCCAATCATTATTTATGTATCAAAGGATCATTATATAAACATGGTTTGAGTTAGAAGTTCTACTAAGGTCTACATGCGCATTTCCAAACGACTTGGTTTCAGAAGTGCAGGGTGACGAAAATGTGCCAATAAAATATATTTTGATGACCCTGTACCTCGAAAGCCATTTGGAACATACCTTTATAATATATTGACATATTCATTAAATAGTATATTTTTCTGTCGTTACAGGTATTTGGGTAGTGGATGCGATCAGATTGATTTACACCTAACATACAGAATTGGACACACGACGATTGGGAAAATTTTGAGAAGAGTTTGTAGTGCTATTTGGGACTGTTTACTTGCAGAAACTTTTCCAGAGTTGACCGAAGAACGCTGGAAAGGAATTGCTGAAGGTTTTCTGAAATATACCCAGTTTCCCAATTGCTTAGGAGCAATTGACGGCAAGCACGTTAGAATAAAAAAGCCAAGGATGAGTGGATCTCTCTTTTATAATTATAAGAATTATTACTCAGTTGTGTTGCTAGCAATTGCAGATGCAAATTACAAGTTTATTTACATCGACGTTGGTGCTTTCGGCAAGGAATCGGACAGCACCATATTTGAAAGAACTTCTTTCTATAGGAAACTCGAAAATAATGTTCTAAATATTCCAAGAGGTCAACCACTTCCTGGTACTGCGGGTACACCTGCAGGTACTTGCATGCCCTACACGTTTATTGGTGATGAAGCTTTTTCCCTTTCTCTACACATAATGAGACCTTTCAGCGGCAAAGTCCTGCCTGACAAAAAAAGAATTTTCAATTACAGATTGACACGTGCCCGCAGAAATGTAGAAAGTGCGTTTGGGATTCTCTCTAATAAATGGAAAATCTTTCAAAAACCAATCAATGCGAATTTGGATTTATCCATACTAGTAATAAAAACTTGTTGTTGTCTTCACAATTTTGTGAGAGATAGAGATGGGGTCAACATTCAAGATGTAATGAGCGTCGAAGGTTTCATTGATATTTGTCAAGACACCTCAAATCCCACAAGAGGAGCCAATCAGTCAGTTCAAGCTAGGAACAAGTTGGCAGATTATTTTGTTTCTGATGTTGGCAGCGTTCCTTGGCAAACACGATATATTTGAGCATTTTCATGGCCCGGTTTTGATATATTTACTGAAAAACTGTATAATTTGGAAAATAAAATTTAATTTATACTTACATATCTCATTTTTTTCTTTGTCTTCCTTCTCATCGAAATCATCACTGCATAAAGTCCGGCAGATATTAATCCATGCCGATCTTTTTTTTGTTCTATCATGGTAGCTTTCTCCAGCTATATTCCATATTTCTGGATAATTCCTCACTTCTCCAATTAACAATTCGATGTCAATATCATCGATATTTTCTTCAGCCATTGTATATTTCAAACCGGACTTACGAAAAATACGGACGTCTGCATCCACCCATAGACGATAACGTACTGCTGGCCGGAGTTGCGGGTGCGTTACCATTGCGGCGCGGTGGAAACTTCCGTGCAAAAGCGGCCGCAAGTTGGACGTACGGCACCGCAACGTCGCCGGAGGAAAGTGTGCATCACCCAATAAGCAACAATGTAACCAACGCCGTAATTACGGTACCGCAGCGGCACCGCACCGTTTAAAATCGGATGTGTGCATCGGGCCCTAGTGAGAATCGGCCTTTACTTGTATCACAGACCGCAATTGCGGTGCCGCCGCGGCACCGCGCGGCAAACAAACGCGTGTCTGTATCGACGCTAAGGCATCACTCGCATCTCGCGCACAGCTTCTTGCTCGCTGGTATTGCTGTTCTTTATCTGCCATCCCTTTCTATGGGTCCGACAGAGAATCCTAAAGGCCCGAACACATATACGCGATTGCGATCGCGATCACGATCACGATCACGATAGCGATCGCGTTGGAAAGCAAACACATATATGCGATAGCGACCGACAATCGACGCATTTAAAAATGTGTGACTTGGAAGAAGAAGCACTGCTTCTTGCAATATTATTGGATGAAGATGATAATAATAGACAACGGTAAGCACAAATTGGTTAAATATGATGTAGGCTATTAATAACGAGTAGTTAATGTATATTTTAGAAGGAAAAGGCGGAATGTTTGGGTGCACGAAATTAACAAAAAACGTAAAGAAGAAGGCGAATTTCATAAGTTATACCCTGAACTCCGGAAAGATGCAAATCGATTCTACACATATTTCAGAATGGACCGTGAAAGTTTCGATGAAATATTGAATCTTATTAGGAACGACATTACAAAAGAGCAAACTACATTTAGAGAACCGATTGGACCAACAGAACGACTAGCAGTCACATTGAGGTAATATAATAATTATTTCGTAATACTTTACTTTTTATTCAGTTGAAAAGTAGCATGTGATATAACAAAAATATGTATGGATTTCACAAGGTGGTACGGGAAAAATCGCCATACCACGTTGCAGCAGAAGCATTGTCATCAGTCTCACGTATATTGGACGAGTGTAACGATGAGGTGTCATATGGCATAATATTCGATGTATAAGATGAAGCAGTGGCATTGTTTGAAAAACATGTACCCGGTCGACTGTCCATCTGAGTTTCCGCTTCTTCAGCCAGTTCTTCTTCCATTATGATTTTGGCGATTTTATATTTCACTATAGTCTGGCGTCGATTAGACAGTTTTTTAACGCTTGCAGCATATCCTTGAAAAGTTAAATCTATGCTGTCGCAGGTATTTGTAACATTCGAGTGCCTTTTATCCAAAAAGTGAATAACTTTGTCAACATTAGATGAATTGTTCGATGTCGACTTTTCTACCGCTTTTCTCTTCTGGCTTGAATTACGAATATATGAGATTTGTGCCGATTTTTCTTGTACAGTAGTCCCAGTACTGGCTTCGTTACCGTTGTCTGAACTCTCTGTAGCTTCGTTTTGTGTATTGCTGGCTTCAATTCCTTCATCTACGACTTCAGGACGTTCTGCTATGTCATCAGTAGTAGCAATGTTGGACTCTGTTTGCGCAAATTGCAAAAAAGGTCTAAAAGCTTCCATGTGCTGTGCCCATGGCCAGGATTTATAGCGACAAATGGATGTAGCTCCTTGCCCAGTTCTGGTTTTCTCGGAACGTATGTGCTTTGAGAAACAATCTCTTAAGTTTTTCCAGCGTTTTTTTAAGTCCTCGCCTGCAAAGACAACATTTCCCAATCAACATGTGCCTATTTACATAATCAAACTAATAAAATAAACATATTGTTATTGTAATCACAGAAAACAAAATTCTAAAACCTACTACGTTTTTTTAGGTTTTTAGCTACTGGCGATTCATATAAAACAATTGGTCACAGCTTTCGATTAGGATTTTCAACCGTTGCCATAATTGTGGAAGAAGTTTGCAAAGCTATATGGGATAGATTGCAGCCACTGTATATGCCAGAGCCCACACAAGAGTTATGGGAGAAATCAATTTTGGGCTATAAAAACTTGTGGCACTTTCCCAATTGTTTAGGAAGTATAGATGGAAAGCACGTGACCATCAAGTGTCCAAAAAAAAGCGGATCAACTTACTTTTGTTACTTAAAAAAGTTTTCAATTGTACTTCTGGCAGTTGTTGACCCCGAATACAAATTTACTTGTATAGATGTCGGTGCATATGGTAAAAACAGTGATGGAGGTATTTTTGAGGCGTCAGCTATAGGAAGAAGATTTGAAAATGGCACATTTAATATTCCTCCAGATAGGCCTTTACCCGGCGAACATGATGCCGTTCCGTGTGTTTTGATAGGCGATGAAGCTTTTACCTTAAGTACTTACTTAATGAGACCATTTCCCTATAGACAATCACGACATGACCGTAATAAAGAAACTTTTAATTACCATTTATGTAAAGCTCGTCGCGTTGTGGAAAACGCATTTGGCATGTTAGCACACAAGTGGAGATTATTTTTTAGACCATTAGAAGTAAAAGTGGAAACAGCAACAAAACTTGTAAAAGCAGCCTGCGTATTGCACAACTTTTTACGGGAAAAAAAAATTGACGACCAATTTCTTCATGCACAACCAAATAACGATAGGCCAGTACAAATACCAGCATTCCAAAATATGCCAGTTGCAGGAAGGAGAGCAGTCAACCTAGCTTTTACCATTCGTGAAAAATTTGTCACTTATTTCAGTAATTTATAAACCCAACCACTACCTACTCATAATACATTTATTATTTGCAAAAATTAATATTTTACTTACCGGTATGTTTTCCAATCTCCTTCGCAATTGCATCCCATACTTTATTTTTTATGCGTACATTCTTGTAGTCAGCATGTGACATATCATACAACACCTTATGTTTTTTCACGTGTTCTATTAATTTTTCAGTGAAATCTTCCATTTTTACTGTTTGCGATCTGCGATAAAAGTAACCTGTTGCGTTTGATCGCTTATCGTCGACTATCCCACGATCGAACGCTGCAGACTTTTACTCTATCGCTAACAGGTCGTAACAAGTATGTGCGACTTACGTGTTTACGATGACTGCGTTTGATCGCAGTCGCGATCGCGATCGTGGTCGCAATCGCGTATATGTGTTCGGGCCTTAATAGAACACTCTCGAATATTGCGATCAGTGGCGCACCACGGTACAAAGGGATTTAACATATCTCTTGAAATCAAAAAATAAATGAAAGTATTTGAGAGATCATTATGCTAAGTGTAAAGCAGTGGTCGACAGGAAACCTCCATCAGGTAGTGGTGCAAACTCTCAAACTCAAAAAGAAATTGAAAAAGCTAAGTCATGGAAGTTCTATGAGAATTCTACCTACTTGAATGTAATATTAGGAAAAAGACCAACTACTTCAAGCATATCACTACCTTCTGGTACCTCAGAGTCTTCCAGCAGCCAGCTCTCGAAGCAAAAAGAGGAGAGAAGATGAAGCGTTTTTCAATAAACTGGAAGAAATTACCAATAATGTGAAGTTGCCTGAACTTCCTTAAAATGATGAAGTTCATGATTTTTGTCAACATTTAGCTGCAGGTGTGCGTAGATCAACTTTACAAGCGAGGTATAATGTTGAAATTCAATTTCTGCAAATATTATCTGAAGCACATGCTAGTATTCTTGGAAGTACAAGTAATTCTTATTTATATTCATCTTGTACCTGTTGCTGTTTTTGAAAGTTTAATTTATCTTCATTTTTCAATATTTATTTCATTTTGATTTTAAAGTAGTTATTTATTTCTGGATATGGATGTTCAAGAACATCATTCTCCAATGTTTTCTGTGATTTTAGTTGTAAGTGTTGATATTTTCATATTCATATGGACTGAATAAAATTTAGACTGCAATAAATTATTTCATTATGCTACCTATCACATGTGATAAATGGAATCTCACTGCTCATGGAAAACTTCAATTTCATCATAACTGAATATACTCGATGATACATGATTTACCAAAAAAACTCAGTGAAATAGAAGTAAAAATATTTATTAACGAGTCATAAACTAATGTAGAGCTCTTTCCCACTGAAAATCAGCATGTCCATCTGTCATAAAGTGCTCTCTGAAGGCATCACGGGCAGATCAAGCAGACGTCGTAAATGCATTTTGATTTCTGATATTTACATTTTGGAATGCACCAAGTTCCGCCACTTCTCTCCAATTCCCCTGAATCATATTACCCTGATCAATTTCTGCATCCACAAATCCATTGGGGCAATAATTCTTGTATCTATTATTTTTTGTTCTTTCTTCCTGCATCAGATGATTATGTGAACGATCACATGCTTTAACAACAGCTTCTGTGGTTTCTAATGGAGCAATTATAGGTTCCCTAAATATCCTCCATCGGGCTGCCAGAATTCCAAAGGTGTTTTCTATGGTACGGCTTGCACGGGACAATCTATAATCGAAAATGGATATGGATATGGTTTCAGTATGTACTTTGATGACTGAAATGCATCATCAGCTACAAGAATTAACATATTATTCCACAAGATAATCATGGAAAAAAACCCTCCTTACCTACATGAGAAAATTTCGTTTAGAACTGACGTGCATAATCTTAATATAAGGCACAAAGGCCGACTTACCCCTCCAATATTTCGTTTGGAGATTTTTCGAAGATGTTTCACGTACCAGATATATGCAATGTATAACGGCATTCCTGATTCAATCAAACAGAAAAATGTGTATCGGTTCAAAAATGAATTCACTGAATTTCTTTCGCGGTAACTGATTCTAACATTCAAACCACCTATCTCATCCCTATGTTAATATCACCCCTAATAATAACTACCATTTAGCGATTATATTTGATTATTATTTATATTCTTCATAGAAGCATTAAGCGATATGTTCTAGGTTGAGTGGAAGAGCAATCTCAATGGTGATTCGTCACTATTGAAATTGAACTCCGCCTTTAATTTTCTTCCGAAGTTAAATATGTTGTTAAATATATATATATATATATATATATATATATATATATATATATATATATATATATATATATATATATATATATATATATATATATACTTAGGGTTAGTTATGACTGTGGTATGACTGTCCTCTTGAATTATATATATATATATATATATATATCATTTTTATTCTAATGACTGTACCGTTGAAGAGGAAGAAAATAATAAAGACGATATTATTATTATTATTATTATTATTATTATTATTATTATATGGCAAAACAGGTCCTCCAGGAAACACTTCAGTGGGCTGAGGTACATTCATTAAGCCATGCTGAAATCCTCTGCCCATTTCAGATGCTTTGGGTAAACTCATAATTTGCTGAACAAATTACCATCAAGACAATTGAATTAGAGCCTTTGTAATTGTAGAATTTGGAGACACTATTTTCTGTAGCCTGTAAAAGATGATAATATTAATGAAAAAACTTGTTGTTCGCAGAATGATGCATGATGTTTTCAGGTTTGCAGGAACCTGGTTTATTCAAATATTGATAAACTCCAGATTCATGATAGGTTTAGAGGTTTAGAAATTGGTTCTCGAACCACTTCAAGTTTCTGTATAATGGGATAAATCAAACTTAACAGATATTCAAACTGTTGCTCATTGATTTTGGAATAGTTCCTGAACTTACAGGCACTATTCAACTTCATCTCCTTCATCAAACTATTTTCAACTCTTTGCTTCTTCCTCTGGTTAACCAAGAGAGTAGGGCAGACCCAAAATCTTCTGGATCTTCCATGCTTGTGCACTCTATTATACTAGTATAGAGCCGCAATGATGATCTTTTACTTCACCTTCTCATTTTCATTTATATACATTCTTTGATATAACTCCATAATAATAAAGCCTAACTAAAGTAGGTAATTATTCACAGTTCGTTACTAGTCAGTTTTCTTGAAAAACAATAGATATAATGAATTGAGCACTGTTTGGCGTTTATTTTCTAGTCCGCTCTGAATTCGTTTTTCGCATGTGAACAGTCCGCGCTTTATTATCCATCTTTCCGCTGTGAGTTGTAAGTTGTCATCGGTACTCACCATTACGACCACCGCGTTTTTCTTTCTCCAATATACCAGAATTCTGCAGTTTTTGAAGTGAGGTACGTATTATCTTGTCACTTATACCCAGCGTATTCACAAACATATTATGACAAATTTGAACTCGTTTTCCCTCTAAAGAAAGATGAAAGAAGTTAATGTAAAGACGGCGAGATACTCCTAATAATTTCATACTCCTTATTTTCACTTTTTGTTCTACCAAACGAACAATGAACTCTCGCTGCAATTTTATATCGCACAGTTTATACAAGTCTGAAAATATTTTTTGTCTATGTTCTTCACTTATCTCTGCACATTTTTGACCACCCTTTCTGCACCATGCTTTATTACATGCTGGTCCTAAAGAACGTAATGAAATTATGGTTTAAGTGGACACAGAACAATATTCTCTGCCAGTATTCCGCAAGGTTTTTGCAAGTTTCTTCTTATTCGTCTTAGGTAGCTTCTCCTCTCTTTCGAAGCTCCTTCAACTAAAAACTGCTCTGGAATCTTCTTTTCACGGTCCAAGTTTCGTTT